GTTTCTTAAATACCTCCAGGGATGGTGACTCCACCACCTCCCTGGGCAGGCTGTTCCAGTGCCTGACCACCCTCTCACTAAAGTAATTCTTCCTAATATCTAATCTAATCCCTCTCGTTAGTGACAGAACAAGAGGGAATGGCTTCAAGCTCCAACAGGGTAGGTTTAGATTGAACATTAGGAAAGAATTTTTCACCGAAAGAGTGGTCGGGCATTGGAACAGGCTGCCCAGGGAGGTGGTGGAGTCACCATCCCTGGCTGTGTTTAAGGGCCGTTTAGATACAGTGCTAAGGGACGTGGTGTAGGGGAGGACTTTGTAGAGTAGGATAGATGGTTGGACTCGATGATCCCAAGGGTCTCTTCCAACCTAGACCATTCTATGATTCTAAACCTCCCCAGCTGCAACTTCAGACCATTTCCTCTGGTCCTGTCTCTGGTCTCCCTTGGGAGAAGAGGCCAACACCCACCTCTCTACAACCTCCTTTCAGGTAGTTGTAGAGGGCAATGAGGTCTCCCCTCAGCCTCCTCTTCTCCAAACTAAACATGCCCATACACAAGTGGTAACACCGCTGTGAACATGCTGGAGGGAGAGCACATGTGGCTCAACTTCTCAAGGGCATGTGCAGGAGGAGAAGCAGCAGAACAGGTGAAGCAGACGAGCCTCACCTCCACCCCATGCAGACCAGGAAGCCCTGGCTTGGGGCTGGGCAGGGAGGGGTTGGCACCTCGAGGGTGCAAGTCGCGACTTGGAGAATGCTAGTAACTTAATTCCTGTAAAAATCAGCTTTTAAGAAAGGGCAGTTTCTCCTTGAGCTTGTTAAGTTTGTCATCTCTGTACCCTGGTTTCTTCTCTCTTGCTGCTCAGGGAAGATGATGGTTCTGTCTGAAGTTACAGGGCTTGCAACAAGCCGTTTAAAATACCCACTGGTTTTTCATGTTGTGACAGCCTGCTTGAAGCGCACGCTGGTCTGTGCTTTGCTTAGTAGTGAATCGCACTAATTAGGTATTTATGCATCAGAACCAATTTTCACTTGAATGGGAAGAAAATTCTATATTATACTGTGGCCTCTCTGGTGAGTCAGAGCTCACGTAACATTGTCACGGATCGGTATTTTATTTTCAGCCATTGCAGTCAAACAACCAGATCTCAACAGTTGTAATGCCCAGTTATAAAATCTTTTTCAAATAATCTTTTTCAAAAATTGGACAGTACTGCACTACAGGTATTGATAGATCAGGCACTATATTCTCATGTACTGGCCGTAAGAAAAGTTGCTTTCCATGTACATGAGCCTTGCAAACATGAAAATGTGATGGCTGGAGTTTAACAGAAGTTACTCACATGAGAGAGACTACGCACGCTAAAGAATTTACATTTCTCTGGTGGGGTTTGGTTTTTTTTTCCTTAACTGGGAAAATTGCCTGGGTTTGTTCCAGTAACGCTGCTGTTCCTTGGAGGTGGCATCACCAGTTCTTTTAACAACCCGGACAGGGGGCTGTGCTGCACCAACCTGGGTCAAAGACCTGCCCCCCCCATCCTTACACGGGTGTGTGATCCCCCGTGACCCAGAGGGCTGGGACTGACCCCCCTGCTTCTTCTTACAGGACAGAGCTGCCGTGTCAACCTGGGAGATGGTGGAAGGAGGGCAAGCGGAGCAGCAGACTGGGAAAAAAAGCTGATCCTTCATCCTTGGACTTTTTATTTTTATTTTTTTTTTTAATTTCAGCTGCTTTGTTAACAGTTGTAAATACCCAGTACCCTCCAAATAAAATCCTTTGGAACGGAATGGCTAACAAAGATGTAACACAAGCTGAGGAAAACTAGATCAATGAATGCAGGACTCCCAGCAGGTGCAGATGTGGTGCAGGTGGGGGAAGCATCCAGAATAGAGGGGAGCAGGGACACAGCCCTGGCATTTGATATTCTAATACAAGAAATGCCCCCGCCCCACTTGCTGTGTGATCTGCCCTCACGGCCTGTTGTGCTGAGAATTAAAACACGCTGAAGATAAAAGTCCTTAGGCCTTTAAGGGTCTTGAAAAGTTCTACGCCCACTGGCTGAAACAGTTGTTGGCATTTGATATTCTAATACAAGAAATGCCCCCGCCCCACTTGCTGTGTGATCTGCCCTCACGGCCTGTTGTGCTGAGAATTAAAACACGCTGAAGATAAAAGTCCTTAGGCCTTTAAGGGTCTTGAAAAGTTCTACGCCCACTGGCTGAAACAGTTGTCCTCAGGCACAGAAGGAGGTGGCGCTTTCAGCCTTGAAGTATTTCCTTATTGCAGCCTTGCTGAGAAATCGTTACCCATAATAAGAGGGTGTCCAGTTACCTGCGAGGCTTGGTGTCCTTTGGGTTTGCTGTTGCACAGAACACTCAGGATCTCTCCAGCAAAAAGGCGAAGATAAAATTAGTATATTTAGGCTTTTTTATTACTTCGCAAAGGATTAACCAACTGACCAGGTAAGCAACCCCCATAAACTTCAGGCTCAGTACAAAGTCTCAGCACTGAAAATCACATGGCTGTTGTACACTGTAGGATAACGCAGGCAAGAACGCCTTCAACACCACAGCCTTTCTTCTTTTGCTGTTTTTGTGTTAAACAAAAATAACCTCCCCTGGAGTGTGGGGCTGTAGGTGAAAGGAGGGAGCGAGGCCCTGCCTTGCACACGAGGCGACCTGTGTTCCAGTGGCTGAGATCATGTGGGGCTTGTACTTTACCTCCTGCCACACTTTCTTCAAATCAGTGTATGAAAAGATGACAAAAACGTAAGAACCTGGCTTCACATGTGAGGAGTTTCATTTGAAACTACAATTCACACAAAGGATCTGTTCAAAAGGAGAAAGGCTTTCTGGTATATTGTTAAGCAGAAAATGAAATGCGCAGCTGTTTTTCTGCTCCCTCTCTGGTTATTGGTACTCCTAGAGAAGGTGGGGCGGGCCCTCATTAGCAGTTTAGCAGATGCTTATTTATAGAATCACAGCATGGTTTGGGTTGGGAGGGACCTCAAAGATCATCTAGTTCCAACCCCCCTGCCACGGGCAGGGACACCTCCCACTAGAGCAGGTTGCTCAAAGCCCCATCCAGCCTGGCCTTGAACACCTCCAGGGATGGGGCATCCACAGCTTCTCTGGGCAGCCTGTTCCAGTGCCTCACCATCCTCACAGGAAAGAATTTCCTTCTACTATCTTAATCTAAATCTCCCCTCTGTCAGTTTTAAACCCTTACTCCCTGTCCTATCCCTACAGTCCCTGATAAGAGTCCCTCCCCATCTCCAGTGGCTGCATTCCTCTATTCACCTGGAATGAATGGCAAAGACTCATAACCCTTACTCCCTGTCCTACCCCTACAGTCCCTGATAAGAGTCCCTCCCCATCTCCAGTGGCTGCATTCCTCTATTCACCTGGAATGAATGGCAAAGACTCATCCCGGCTTCAGAAGACACCAAAGAAAGTACACACAATTAATTTGCTATTATTTTTATTTCCTACCAAAAGAAACTGCTACATTTCCAGAATGTTTAAAAATGGTAACAATTTGTATACATTAGTGGATAACAGAGTTACAGCATCTGTGCAGCTTTAAAACCAAGAGGGCAGGTTGCAATCTGGACTGAGCTCTGTTAATTGATCGACTTCGCCTACAAATGCCGTTTAGGTGATAGTACCACTGATGTTCTAAATACAAAAGAAACGCTCATTTTAAAGGAAATCAAGTAAGCTGTTTTAACATCAGGTTTAACTTTCTGATTTTATTTAAAAAGGACTTGGGCATCTCAAATAGTTTTAGGGGGAAAACCAGTAGCAGCTTAGTTTCCCCAAAGTTGTAGATGATAGTTTACAAAACTGCTGATATTGAACACCAGAAGCTCATCTCTTAGGAGCAGATGTTGCTCTAATCTAAAAAGTCTGTGAACCCTCATAGACCAACATGAGCAAACATTTAAAAACCTATTTTAAAAATAGGTAACTGGTTTAAAAAGAAAAAAAACACAAACCAAACAAACCAAAAAAAAAAAATGCATCGGGGTGAGGTAGTAGTCACAGTGCATCCAGAACTAACGACTATCAGGGGCAGGAGGGACACACTGGGAGCAGCCTCTCTGATTCCAGGTGCCCTCCCTGGGCAGCTATTGCGAGGTAGGGGAACGCAGGGCACTGTGTTCCAACCTGGAGCTGGATCACTGGAAAGGGGGGGGGCTGTAATGAATATATAACATCTAGTGCAGTCACCAGACACGCTGCACGCTTGTTCCTGTAGGTGCTTTAAGGAGTATATACACCAGGAGCCAGACTGGGGGTTTAGGGGCAGGACCCACTTCTGGAAGTTTTTTAAATGTCCTCTGCCTGAACTCACCCCTCTCTCCGTATCGGTTCAATCCCTACGAGCTTTGACTGAATTCCCCAAAACTGAAGAAAGGATACTGTGCAAAAATCCAGTGCAGCTTCCCCGTTATACCCGACGCTCGCCTGCCCTGCCAACAGAGCCCGCTGGGTATGGCCCCACAGCAGGAGTCGGCCGTCTCCATGAAGGATAACGAGCCAAAAAAAAGCCACCTACGTCTCCCTACACTCATCTTCTCAGAGCTCGAACTTCATTTGGGTTTAAAAAGCACTTTGCTCTTCCGTGATCACCGAGAGCCTGTCGGGTATCACTACGTTTCTGACCCTGCCTAGCACCTCTCCAAATGATAATGTCACAAAGTTCATCCTATCGAGTTCTAGATGAGTCAAGGCCAGCTAAAGGAATAGAAATTTATTTTTTTTTTCCCAGGTAAAAGCATAATTACTGTTTAATGCTAAGATACCTACAGTAAATCCTTATTCTGCGACGGGGGGAGCCTTTTCCAAAAAAACCCAAGGTGTTGCAGGAAGGGGGGTACTGTCGGAACCAACGCTGCCTCTGGGACTGGGAATGGGAAAAAGGCAACTAATTACATTCAAAATCTACAGCGACTCTCATGCGTTCCCTTTCCAAAGAGGGTGACATTTTGCTTCTTGATATGCTAGCGTGGCAAAAAATGAAATGCAATAGCTAATTCTAGACAGAGGGTCTAAGAATGAAAACATGACAACCTTGGTGCAATCCAAGAAAATTCAGTTGAGCTGGTGGAAGAATTTTTATCTAAGTATCAAGTGCATTATTATTATTATTTTTTTGCTGTTCACACTTTAGTTATTGCTCAATAACTATCAAAAAGAACAGAGGAATACTTTCAGTTTAGTTTTATTATATTATAACAGATCTGCGACTACAGCTTATTTCAGCCAAAACATTTTCATATTCCAAACTCTTAAAAAATATCTACATTAATCATATTTTTCTATTCTGAAAAATAAAAAAAATCTACCTATCATCATACCAATGCTGCTACAGCACTTGAAAGGGTGCATTACTTATGTAAATTCTACGGTAAATGTAATTACTCTTGCAGTCATTGTTCTTCCTTTTTGCTTCTTCTTCTCTGCTGCTGCTTTGGCTTCAGGTTTCAAAAAGTTTGCTAAAAGCTGTTCCGACTTCTGAAACCATGTCGGAGGCAGTCATTGAACGTCCCAGTTTTTGAAAGGCTTGGTGGTTAGACTGCCTCGTGAGAGAGCAAGCTCCAAAAGCAGCCACTAGAAAGGGATTTTGACTAAAAGGAAAACAAACAAACAAACAAACTGTATTATAAACAAAATCTGAACACTCTTGGGTAATCCCTAAGGCCTTGGCCGTAATCTTTGGACCCACAGATGTTTGTCAGCATTGCTGGGAAGGCCTCTCAACCAAACACCTGTGTTTCCCAGATTCTTGCAGAGCACTTTTGGCTCAATTATTTATTTTTTTCTTTAAACAAATAAATACTTCCCTCCCCATGGCACAGCACGTGAGTGAGTGAGAAACACCGCCAGGGCTGAAGGATGCAAAAAGAAAACCTGCTTAAAAGGCGGGTAAGAAGGTGTTCCATGTCTAGTTTTACTGATGTGAAGCTCCATCCTTTCCTTCAGAGGAAGGCTGGGGTCTCAGCTGGCAGCCTTCTGACTCCCCGTCCTCCCCACCGGGTTCAGGAGCCGGGGAAGGATGCGGGGACGGGGATGGGATGATTTTTAACAAGGGCCATAGTCCCTGCTCTGGGGCCTTCACTGGATCAGCGACAGCTGCAGCCCACCACAGAAATCAAGGCACACACTTCTTCATGCCTCTTAGGTGCTTACCAACTGCCTAAAAGAGTGCACCCAGCCCTCCCAAAAAAACCTCAGAATGATTCAGCAGCCAGCCCTGGGCTCCAGCTGCTGGCTAGTTAAAAACCTCACGAGGCTCAGTCACGGGTGGGACATAGCTGCCCATAGATCTCTAAGGACCTGCTGAACCTCTGTGCCAATTAAGAGGTTTCTGAAGGATCGTGATATAAAGCACAGGCAAAGCAGAAAGTGAGTTTACAATTAGGTGGTACCAAGGCAGCTTTGAGTACCTGATCCTTTAAAACAGGAGGGAGTGTTTGAGCCACCTTGAGAGTCAATCCTGGCTGCCCCAACACTGCTGTGAAGGGAGAGCTCTGCCTTCTGGGCTCAAGACAGTTAAAGCACCTATTTCTAAGGCTACGGCAGAACCATCTTGATACACACCACACTCCAAAGTATACTCCTGTCTACTCAGCAGGTGAATCCTACCTTCTACACCATTAGCACCCCTGAAAACCAGTGCAATCGTAATGTTTCCAAATCCTGCCCTGCACAGACCCGTTTTGAAAGAGCAGAGCCAGGCAGGAGCATGGAAGGGCTGGCTGCAGAGCAGTCTGCAAGCTGATGCCACAGATTCACTGAACCTAACGAGCTCCTCCTTCCCCCAAGCACAGGAGATAAACAGGATTGGTGCAGCAGGTGTTGGAGAAAGGTCACCTTAACACCACCACGGGAGACGCAATCTATTGCTGATGCCAATTATACTCTCCCCCTTTTCCTCCATCTATAAAATAAAAGGGAGTTTCTGAGCGAGCTGTTTGGAAAAGCCACAGGAGCCCAAGTCAGGAGAGCCCGGGGAACACATGCTGCGTTTGCTCTCTCCAACAACTTAATGCTGGTCTGTTGTACACCATGCAAAAATGAAGTCACTCTTTTAATAAAGGAAAAAAAAATTTTTCCTTTGGTGGCAGCTGCAACTTCAGATAGGCAAACAATCTTGGTTTCGATTTTTCATTCCGGGTATGTTAGATTTCAGAATTTTAAAGTCTGGTTCAACTGGTCCCTCATTCCTCCTGGGAATGCTCTGCTCTCACAGCAACTGAAGCACAGGCTCATTAACTCCCATGAACATCTAATTGTGTGCACCTGCTTGTAGCACCCAAATCCTACAAAAGACCTCCTCCTCCTAAAGCTTGGATAGCTCTTTACCTGTTGGGAAGGGGGACTGTTGCTCCCTAACTGCTTGTGTCAGGGTTCCTTTCAAATTCATTTCAAGCAGCCACATTCACAGGAAGACTACGTGACTATATGGACCAACTGGTCAGACAGGAATTGACACAATTTATTAAAAAAGCCAGCAGTCAGCTGCATGGCAGCTTTTGTACGGCCAAACTGGACTGCCATTTGGCCTTTAAATCGTTACCCTGTTTGAAATTGCATTTTATTTGCAAGTTTCAATTCACCTGCCCCACTGAATTACTTAGGTACGATGCAATAGGATTCCCCCAAATTACAAAAACAAAGCTAAATAACACATTTTTTGAATTATAGAGGCATTACTGTCAGTGGCTACCAGTTATTTGTTCTTCATACTTCCTGCCTACACTCAATTGTTTAAAAAACGCATACCCCCTACATCAGTATCCTTGGGAAACAATCCAGGTTCTCAATCTTCTTCTGCCTCAAACTTGGGAGATGTTAAGATTACTGAAGAATTTGGCATATTAAAATTGTAACTATTATGTAGACTGCTCTAGAAAACCCTTACGTTTTTTAAAAGTACACGGATACCTCAGTCTCAACAACTCCATTTCATTTGGAAATTTCTATAGCAGGTCTACAACAGTCACCACAGGAGAACACAGACTCACACGGATTAAGTTATTAATTAATACTCATACCCATTTGTTTTTTCTGCTCCAGCAAGAAATGCCCAGTGCGCTAAGACTCCAAGAGAACCAGCGAGGAGGTCCCCCTGTCCACCACATCTCCGGCTGCTTCCTTCGTGGCTGCATACAAGTACTGTCAACAGACAAACCAAAAACAAAGTCATGTGCATTTTTGTTTTCTTTCATTTACAATGACAATGGTTAATCTGAAACACACAGAGATTAACAGGTAAGAGATGAATCACAGGCAGCAGCACCTGCCGAAATACAGTGTTCTTAAAAAAAGTAATAATTGCATTTACATGTAAAAAATACTTTTCTAATTGCTTTTCAATCTTTTACAAATAACATCTCACAAGGTATATAGGCTTTCTCCACTCAGCCTGCACAGAAGATTCAGTCACTCATGAGTTCAGTGGTTCCTGTGATGAGGAGTCACCCTGAACTCAAGCAGGTGCCTCCACAAAGCCACCGCACAACCAACCGGGGCTCTCCAGAGCCTCTGACCTTCAGAGTTTACAGATGTAAATAAACCAAGGTGTTTTAAAGAGAACAAAGCCAAACCAGAACTAATCAAATTCAAATCTTCTGCCCTGCCCACCAGAAAGGTATTCTACTGAAAACAGCCTTTTTCCCTAGGCTTTGTAAAAACCGTATACAAAGAGATCTCTCTTTCTGCAAGTCAACAGTGGGTAGGCCCTCTCAGAACATCAGATGTTGCATTTCTGTTTTAAATATACAAAGGACCTCGGTCAAACTGATCTCCTTGTGGAGCTGTAGCTACAAAGAACATGTGAAATGGTTTTACTAAATTTAACTCCTTTGTTCTCCACTCTCAACAAGCCCAAGCAGGAAGCCTGAAGGATAGGTAAGGCACACGAAAAGAAAACAGCATGAATTCCACTGCCCTTCTCCAAACTCTCCTGTGGGTATGGATCTATCCTTTGCTTTTCTTCTTGCTAACCTCTGAAGAAAACCCAGGAGAAATTTATTTTTCCCTCCTAGGAAAACAGAAAAGCTGGCAGAATCACGGGTGGCCAAGTAATGATCTTTAGCATCTCCAGTCAGCTACTGCAGAGCTATGGGTGTTCAGGAGTACAAACACACTCCTTTGTGCGCCCCCGAGCACACCAAGTACACAAGCAAAGTATAAAACAAGACATTATTTGGACAATAGCTCTTAGCTCAATTTTCTCAAGTCATCTGGGTTGGGCTTCTCCAAGGTGTATGAACAGAGCAGCCCAGGTGTTTCAGAGGGAGTATTAGCCATATTTTTAAAAGGAATTTTCTTCTTAAAAAAATAACAGGGAAAATCTGCACAAAATTGAAGGACTTGCAGGTAAATCTCCTTAAATAGCAAGAGGTAAAAAGAACTTACTTAAGGCAAGTAAACCCTTTCCAGTTCATTAGCACAGTTCATTTCTGCTTTTCGTTACTCAGTGCAGCAAGGAATTGTACTTCACTTCCATTTCCTACCCATTCTTCCAGCAGTAATTGCTGGGCTCGTGAGGCCAGGCAGTTGTGCATTTTTGCTGCCACTGAGAGGGCAAAGATTCATTAGTCACCAGGAACACAGCAGACACCGCTGCAGCCTTGCCAGCAGTTAATTTTCCCAATCGCTCTTCTCCCCCTCCCCCCTCCCCCCCCCAAATTAAGATTCTGGATGTGTTTCTCAGTGAGCAGTAGTTAATGTCACATTTCACAAGTGAAATGCTCTTCTGAGTTAGCTGTTTGAAGAAGGTATGCCCTTTTAGGTGGCGTGGTTTATTTTATAAAAAAAAAATAAAATAAAATACAGTGCTCTGGAGAAATTACCTCTAATTCTGCTACTTTGAAGATGGTATCTCACAGGATTTTCACTTTGAGGGCTTGAACTCCTGGCAGGAGGCAGGATGGAAATCCTCTGTTCAAAAGCTTTGGGGCCTTCTGACTGACAGCTGAGCACAAGCCCCTGCTTATTAGCTGTATGTCACCATCTGCCACTATTCTGTAGCCCCACAACCTTCCAGTCAGTTTTCAGCTGTATAGGAAAGCTCTCCTCAAACTAGGCCAATTATAATACCCAACTACAAAAAAAAAAAAAAAAAAAGGTGGTCTTTTGTTTGTGACTTTTTAAAAAAAGTAAGTCTCGAATACGTGCGGACTACCTCACAGGCAACAACAAAAAGCAGACCTTTGTGCTCTGCAGAGAGATGCTGGAAAACAAATCCAGGCAATACCTTCAAAGAAGCAGAACTAGAGGAAATTCACTTGAACAGGAGGGGAAAGGTGTAACGCTCGGGCAATGCTTGCACAGGGGCTCAGCTCCTCAAAATAAAAGGATGATGAAGATTACAACAGGCAACGGGAAAAGGAAGGAAAAACCCCTCTGAACTACAGTCCCCGTTAACAGCTTTTAGAATAAAAGGAGGAATCCCACACTAGCACCAGGACACGCTGGCACTCGGCCAAATCCGCAAAAGGACAAAGTCTTCCTCATGCTTTTTTTCCCCAGCCTTCTCCTAGAACAACCAAAATAAAGCTGCTGTCTTCCCCCACTCCCAAGTATCCGTGACCCGCTGTGAAGGCAGCTCAAGCAGTTCTTTAAGGACCACGGGGGTGACGTCCTTATACGCTGCGCTGAGCAGTGACAACCAGTGGCAACGTTACAAGACCTCCATTAGATGGACATGGCTGAACGGTCAGAGAGAAGGGGGGCAGTCCTATTCCCTGCAGAGACGCAGAACCATGTATTTACATGAGGATGAAGTGTTTTTGCAGCCCGTTGCTCAGTGAGGTGACACCACGTTCAACTAGGGATGAACATGTATATCAGAAAGCCTAGAAAACACGGAATGGCTGAGGAGACCACAGAATCACAGAATTATCTAGGCTGGAAGAGACCCTCGGGATCATCGAGTCCAGCCATCCACCCTACTCTAAAGTTCTCCCCTACACCATATCCCCCAACACCACATCTAAACGGTTCTTAAACACAGCCAGGGATGGTGACTCAACCACCTCCCCGGGCAGCCTACTCCAATGCCCAACCACTCTCTCTGTGAAGAATTGTTTCCTAATGTCCAGTCTAAACCTCCCCTGGCGCAACTTGAACCCATTACCCCTTGTCCTATCATCTGTAACTTGGGAGAAGAGACCGACCCCCATCTCTCTACACCCTCCTTTCAGGTAGTTGTAGAGAGAGATGAGAGTTGTAGAGACCAAGATGAGTGGATGCTGGACAACAGGGAAAATGCAAAGACTGAAACTGGAAAGTCAGCCGTCGGGCCACTTCAGGTCAATTAGTCCAACAGCAGTCCCCATCAAAATAACTGAGAGGTTCACCTATAGTTCAAGTGACAGACCTTTGGAGATAGAAACACACAACCAGTGCTGGTCAAACTGGCTGCTGGAGCGGGGTGTCTTGTTTTGGTTTGGTTTTTAATAGGTCTGGGCAACCAAATCTGATGTCATTATTTCACAGGGTGATGAATCAAGAAAACACCCACCTCAGTATAATTAATAGGCAGTCTTTTAATGAAAACTCATTTATGCTAAGTAACTTCCTGAAAAAAAAAAACCAACAAAAGACCAGTTCCCTGGCACTTACGCATGAAGCATACATATACTATCATAAGAGAAGGCAGATGTTATCAGTGAAGAAATTGCTGAACAAAGTATGGCAAGGAGATCTGCTGGAGTCAGAACAACCACAGCCTATTCAACAGTTTCAACATAACCTCAGTGATTAAACAGCGTGTAAAGATTGCCAGAGCTGTGCACAGCAAATACAACACGTCCCTCGCACATAGTCACCCGGATTTCTTGCTTACCTAAGTCCATCGAAACAGTTTGTACTGAAATATGAGTACAACAGAAACAAAACAAAACAAAACCAAAAAAAAAAAAAGAAAGCTGTCATGCTGACAGAGTATTGAAAAGCAGAAATTCAAGAGTTCCACACAATTCAAAATTCTACCCCAGATTTCCTGGTTAACTATGGCCAAGTCATTTAGTAGCTCTACGCTTAATATATTTCAGGTCAGAAAATAAGTTACCATCACTCCCTTTTCAGCCCTCCTCGAAGGCAAGATAAACATTAGCATTTGGGGCACATTCAGACCATGGTGTCACGCTTAACCATACCGTTGCCAGCAAGTTTTAAGCTTAAGGAACTCCCAGTCCTAACTGTGCTGGCAGATCAAAGTCCAGAAGAATGACCCATTTACGGGTATTGTATGCTTAATTAAAAAACCAGCCTGTTATGTAACTGAAAATAGCTGCCCTCTGTTTGAAGGAAAAAAATTAGAATTTAGTAGTTTTGCTAAGTTAACTGGAAGCATGAATTTTGATATGGCTGTACACAGGCAGCCTGACAAACACCACTAGCTCCTAGACACATTACAGTTTGAAAACGAAGGGCCCACGTAGCATAAAAAGTAATGTGTGTCTGTGTATTTTTGATTCGCAACATTCATAGTGAAAAAAACCTAACAAAACAGGGATTCCTTTTTGATTTTTTTGTTTAGAGAACAGAACGTGAAATATGAGATAGCTAAAGGTTAAACACGTAATACCGATGATGATTAAGAAGGCTAAAGAGCCTCTGTGAAACACCACACTTACTGAGGCCGTAGACCGAAAGACAGCCTGGAGATTAAAATTTAATTCTTGAATCTCGGATGTCCTGAGCAAGTTCTCTGCACTTGTTTTCCTCTTACACAGCTGGAGTATTACGCTTATCGTAATGTGCTCAAGAACCACGTGTTAGAGAAGTACAACCATTCCGACTTCTGATTAGATCAGCTAACATCAGCGACCCCACAGAACCACAATCACTTTTGTTTAATTAAAAGGTTTAATATTTCCATTTTCTATGCAAAATAATGTAGCTATCAAGGACCATTTTGCACCACCAAATGCAAGATTCGGGTTTAGACCATTATCAGATATGAGTAAGATCTTTTACCAATAGACATTTCTGACCTGGCAGATCTTCATATTATTAAGAATTTTGTCTTTTTCCTTTTGCAAGTCAGATCATGGAAGTACCTAGCTGGAGACTGTGGACTCCCAGAAACACACCCCAGAGTGCATACAGACAGGGAAACCGATATCAATGACTTGGGCTGGAGAAATCACTCAACTGGTGTGGAAAACGTAAGTTGGCTTTTATATAAAGGGTGCTTATACTTTTTATTCCCTAATCACACTTTTAAAACTTAGATAGGTCCTTGAGTGTGAGACACTAGGCAGTTTAAGTTAAAAGAGAAGAATCCAAATTTTGTATTACGTTTCCTGGATAGGTGCAGGAGCCAGGGGACAGGTGTCACAACAGATGAGCAGCGCCAGGCTGAGCTGAGCATGCAACGGAGATAAGACAGTGGCCCAGTGGACAGGAACCACCCCTCCCTGTTTTGCTCACTCTGCAGAAGCAGGACTAGAGACAAAAGTGCTGCCTCGCTTAAAATCATTAAAAACCAGGCAAAATTTGCTGGGCAGCTGGACACCGTAACAGCATTTAGCTGAGCGAGCCAGGGACTGACAGACACTGAGAACTGTGGGGGTTGGACTAGGTGATCTCCAAAGGTCCCTTCCAACCCCTACCATTCTGTGATTCTGTGAATAGCTCCCTTTCTGGCTGTAGGAGGAGTGAATGGCAGAAATTAGAAGTACTGCTTGGGGTTTATGGCAAGAGCTGGCTTTTTACCCCCTATTCTGTACTCATCACTCCTTCTCATGTGCTTCTTTGCTTCTCTTGAGCAAAACTGGAGCCTGGCAACAGGAGGGAAACTATGTTTGGCTACTGGCTCCAGGTAAAAGTAGTCATAGGATACCAGCAGTGGGATGGTTACACAAAGTCTGCCTTTTGGAAGGGAGGAGGTGCTGGGAAAACTCATTTTAACATTTAAAAACAAAAATCCAAATCCTCTACCTCAAGGACCTAAACAAATTTTAAACATGTTTGGAACTAAGACTAGTATAACCACTCTTTATTATTGACCAGTTCTCTAAAGAATGATGAAAAGAAAACCTTAGAGAGCTGTGCCATAGTGAATAAAAGCTGACTTACCTTTTACCCACAGGCTGAGTACTCATTCCTACCCTGGTCAGTGATGGCACTGATATCACCTACCAAGAGCATGGTGAAGCTCATCTTTGTAGAGCAGGGAATCAACAACTGTAGACCAAGCTATAATGTGAGATTGCAAAAGGAAAGAGAAAAAGAGTATATAAAACTTAATTTAAAATCTTGGTGACGATGTTTGCAGGGCAGTTGGTAGCTCATAACTGGATTGGAGAAAAAATTCAGAAAAACCTCCTTTATAGTGGAGGACTGCTACTGATTTCTGAAAGGCAACGTATGTGATTCAGTACGGATTTAAGGCCACAGGGAATGACCTGCATCATCTAATCTGATCAGAGAATCTTGCCCAGAGAAGCTGAGGATGCCCCATCCCTGGAAGTGTTCAAGACCAGGCTGGATGGGGCTTTGAGCAACCTGCTCTAGTGGGAGGTGTCCCTGCCCATGGCAGGGGGGTTGGAACTCAATGATCTTTAATGTCCCTTCCAACCCAAACCATTCTGTGATTCTATGATCTGTGAAAACAAACCTCAAAGGTGTCCAGACACTTCACAGTTTGGCAATCAATCAAAATAGTAGGTATGTTATTGTCATAGCTGATTTCTTTGTCTGTTAATAAAATCTGCCTTACTTTTAATCTGAATTTATTAAGCTTCAGCTTCCAATTAGAATTTATTGTGCCTGTCTGCTTAGATTACAGGGCTATCTGCTGACAGTAATCCTTCCCCAACACCTGTACTTCCAGCTCACTCTCTAATCACCTGATAGCCTTTTTGTCTCCAACTAACAGAAGTAAATCATCTACTGAATTTTCTACAGATTCATGAATAAAAGCATTGTGAAAATAACCACTACAATCACTCTAAGCTATATTCACCAAAACAGTCTTCCCTACTGCAAAATTCAGCATCTTCAAAAAGCCTTCCTTCCACAACAGCCAAGCACAGAAAACTAAAGCATTGTTTGCAACTAAAGAATTGTTTTCCTTTTTTTTTTTTTTCCTCTCTCAGAAAGCATGCATGCAGTATATTCCCAAAGGAGAAATTTTAACAGTGATATATGGAAACTATAGTACCAGTGTACTAAGCACAGGAGCTCAAGCAGGAAATGTACAAAAATAGGTATGGCTTAAGCACTAAAAACAGATGATGACATGAAAAATAAGAAGCAAGAGGAGTACACAGATCTTTTAATAATATTTGATTGTGCTCAGAGGACATTGGCCTAATCCAATGATCTGGATTTCCCTCACACTGGAATCATGATGTATGTTGTCTCAGCTGAAAAAAAAAATGATATCAGATCAAAGAACAGGCAGATGAAAAAAAGAAATTACGAGTGAAAAACCTGGGAGAGAATTCAAGGTCAGTGGCGTGACAACATGCTCTATGTTGTGGCACAGAGCAGACAGTAAATCTCCTTTCTCAATGTAATTTTGTACTTGAGAAGCTTTTAAAAAATTGACTGACAGTAACTCCCAGACCCAGAGAACATTCTTGTTAAAAGGAAGCTCAAATCTATAGTTTCTGCAAAATTCTCAGGAACCTTCTTGCAAGCAACACAACCCCTAAAACCAGTGTTTGTAACAGACATTATAACCTGTATTAAACCTGACAGCTGCTTTCTTACAGCTTAGCAATGCTGCCTGTAATGTCTGTAATCCAAAAGAGAGAAAGTATCAGTGATAGAACCAAGGCAAGAAAAAAAAAGCAGCCTATAGCTAGACATCAAACAACTGCTATAAACTGCTTTTATTTAAAATCAAAACGCCACTTCACTAAGAGAAAAAAAAAACCTATCAGAACACAACAGAGACAAAGAACAAGGTGGGGAAAAAAAAAAAACAAAACAATGAAAAGCCCTAAAAGCACACAAGACATACACCAAACTTGTGCCACACCTCAACATTCAAAACTGAAATTGGAAAGAGTGTCAGTTATTTCCTGGTTTCTTGAATCCTGCATAACAAGAGACAATGAAGATGGAGCATCCCCTCTCGCCAGCATTGGTGGGGGTACACTAATCCAAAGAATAACAGGTCAAAAGGACAACAGAGATATACTAGGTAATGTGCTCAATCTAAAGCACTCACCCAGTTTTCCTGACATTCACTGGAAAAGCAACAATCCTGCATAAAAAGAACGCTGTTGACACAAAAACAGAGCAAGAAGATACACTACGGTTCTCTAAAGCTCTTTAGCTGGCACAAACTGGAGCCAGGCTATTTTATCCTCTGGCAGAGTTCATCCTCCCTTAAGCCTGGCCTGACCGCCCAAGGTTACAAATCAAGTCTGCTGTGGGTGCAAACATGACAGCAGACTTCATGCAATGCAACTTGGGTTCTATACAACCCACCCAAGCCCTTCATCACGTAAGCATAACCATACTGCTGCCAGATCCCAGCTTGCTCCACAGCCTGCTATAGTATCTGTGCTAAGGGGGGTATGTGGAAGGGGGCTCTGCACAAAGCAGTTGTCATATTACATCTGTTTTTCTGTTATAAAAGACTCCCATGGCTCCCAATAATGAAAAATTGACTGTATGTACATAACGGTTCTGAAGAGGCATAAACATTTATCAGAGATTAGCATTTCAAGTAATTAGAGGCAGAGCTGCTGCTTGTTATGTATGTGAAATAAGACTATGTAGTCAAAATGTGATGAAGGCACTCATGAATTAATTTTATACTGATCACAGTAAATGATCAGTACAAAAAGCATCAGACAGGCAGCTAATTTTATTAAGTAGACTTTAACTATATTAGTAATTGACTGCTTTAAAAAAGCTGTAATGGCAATCTAGAGGGGTTTTTGGGTTTTTTTGATTGTTTTTTGTCAGGGCTAATGTATGAGTTCATATGTACATACTAATCTACAGCATGGTGTACCGTACCAAGAACCGAGCAGCTCATGAACCTCAAGACGTACTAATTTTTCAGACACACCAGTATATGATGAAACAACAATATTATTCTGCAGCAGTTTAACAATGACATCTCCACTTACACAGACAATCCCAGCTAAGGATTTTAAAACAGTTCACAAAGAATAAAAAAATAAATTTTTCAATACCCACATCGTGTAAAACATGTTATAGCCATTTAAGTGAGAAATAAAATCAACACCTTTTTTCAACAAATAAATTAAGTTGCACTCTTAAAATACCAGTTCACACAAACCATCTAAAGGTGATCTGCAAAGACAGCCATTCCTCCCCTTCAGTCTTCAAGGGAATACAGTCAACCAATTACTGTATATAGTCCAACCACTGGACTACAACTGAAAGCAAACACACAAACAATCACATTTCTAAAAGCAAAAAGCTTCACTTACCTTTCTCTCCATCTGAAATAAGATCTCTTTCTCCCTTTTGAACAATTGTCAAATTTCCCATGGCTTGGCTGAGTCTTAATACACATCCATGATGATCACTACTGTCTACGGGGTCTCTAAGCTATAACACAAGAATTCCATACACAGTACATATTTTACTACTAGAGCAATACATTCTAACACATGCTACTTCAGCATATGTATAGGAGGGGGAAAAAAAAAAAAAAAAAAAAGCAGCATCATAATCAGTCTTTCCAGGCACTTTTTCTCTATACCCACTGCAGTGCCAAAAAGTGCTTAAGAATGGGTCACCTTTAAAAAAGGAGTTCTGCTTAAGAATATGCATTATTGTGGCAATTATCCCATAGAATAAAAACCCAGAGAATGGGATTTCTATGTGCTTCTCTCGCATATAGGAAACGGCACATAATGCTTAAGCCAGTAACAAGTTGTTTATTTTTAAAACTAAAATACTAAACTTGTAGGTACTTAAGTACCAAAAAGGAAAACAGCTCACCATGGCTTCATACAGTCTACTAAACTCCATGTAGTTTGGAGTAAGGATAGCTCGCTGGTAGCCTTGAATAAGGGAAGGCTGCTGGGAAATGAGCCACAGTCCATCCTGCAAAAAACCAGTAAGAACAACATTTACTGAACAGGTTCTTAAATGTCGAGGTACTGACTGAATCAAGAAAATACTTACAGCATCAATAATGATAGGAATTCCTTTCACTTTCGATTTTTCTATAATACCCTGCAAAAAATGCAGATAACTTTAAGACACTTGCTAATTCAAATCTGGTAAGATCCAAAACAAATTCATACAATAAATTCTTTCAAAGACAGAAAAAGATCCACCACATTTTGCAATATAAGCCATTTTCATATCAGCTGGTAACTTTTCAGTTACGTTGTTCTCTCCCTGGTTCAAGTATAATCAAGAGAGTTTCCATATGTCACTTTAATTCATGGTCCTCGAGGTTTTATACTTTCAAAGCAAAACTCAGAAGGCCTAGAAAACACACCATATGCAAAAAGTTTTTTCAGCCAGTGGTATCTACCTGCAGACCATCTGCCCTCCATCTCCCTCCTAACCAAGCAGTGGCAATGACTGATACTCAAACTTTTTTAATGAGCAATGGCTGACAGTCAAGTTTTTTGAATGTTGGTGGTTACCAACTTGTCTTTGAAGCTGGAGATTTTAATCTTTCTCCTGTATAAGATAACAGAGGATGGTATCCATCCAAAAGTGTAATTATTTTTGAACGTTATTGAGCTCTTCAGATTAGCTATCATACAGCACTGAGCTCCACAGGTTAGCAAAACATTATGAAAGGAATAAGGAAGCAGTTTTTAATTAATGTTCAGGGTTACTGAAGGCACCTCTGTTCTTGTACTGTGATCAAAATAAAACACAGCCCATCTTGCTTTCTGTAAATTATTGATTATGACACATACATATCCTCACGAACTCGTACCTACCTGATTCTGATTTTTCCAATTCCAGTGGAAACACTTCCCTTCTATTTTTAAATGGATGAGCAGAATCTAGCAGCGTGCCTCAACTCAGCGCTGCTTATGTTTGTTTGGGAACTGTTTGCCTGTTGTAAGTGTGAGTCTGAAACACTACCCACTGCTCCAAGCCTCAGGACCTGTCTCAACACACAGCTGCAGCTACCTTAGAAGCCACTACAGAATAAAAAACCTTTCCATGACACACACATGCTTGCACAGGTCTTGGCTTGGCCTGGGTCACAGACTGCCAAGGCGCCAACCCGCCTTGAGATCCCAGGGGAACACCCACAAGTGTTCCCTTATATTCAGCTACTTAAATAATTTCGAACCAATAACAAGTTTTTCACAACTCGTACCATTCAGCTACCACTAAATTATTCAAATTTATGAATAAGTATATTCGACAGCTGTGCAAGGATGGAATCTTAAAACACACCTAGAATTAGTTGTGGCATACTGAAAACCAGAGAGCCTGACTTTCAAAGCTTTTAAGAAATTTATGGGACTGAGTAATTTCCTTAGTCATTAATGTTAATCCACACAGATGTGCACAGCTCAGTTTTCCTTCACAGAAACTGTACTGCTTTGACCCTGCTGTGTAAAGTTCATTAACAATTATGTTTAATTTGACTGAATTGGTTATGATAAAATAACTCTGTGGATCTAACAACCAGCTTTATGTTGGTTTTTTTTTTTTTTTCCTGTATAAATGAATGTTTTACATACAACAGTCTAACTATTTTTGAACCAAACTAAGCTCTTCTGATTACATATTATATGGAACTGAGCCCCAGAGATCAGCAAGATATTATGCAAGAAAGCATTCAGATCATCCTCCTCCAATTTTTGAAGATACAAATTCCATTTACTGCAACCTTGTTTTAATTAGAGTATTTTTGTACATTATCTACACCAAACACCTTCAGTACACTTCAAATGATTACTGATCCCACTAATATGATCCCAGTTTATTCTAGTACGTCAACTTTAGTAAGCCAGTCTTTCATGACACTTCATTTTTTAAAATGAAAAAAGATTTCCCTTACTAATTCCATAAGGAAACGATTACTGATCCCACTAATATGAATCACCAGTTTTTTCTAGTACGTCAACTTTAGTAAGCCAGTCTTTCATGACACTTCATTTTTTAAAATGAAAAAATATTTCCCTTACTAATTCCATAAGGAAATATGAAGGAAGGCTCCTTACCCTTCCAAACTATTCTCTTAAATTCATTATGAGCAATGCATGGAACTGATTTTGCCAAAGTTCTGTTTCCGAAATGGTTAAGGTTTGGCTGCTGCTGTTCTTATTTGGCACGAAAAATTCTCATGTTTCCTCATAATTGTCACCTTGACTACTGGTTAGAACTTCTCTTTTTATCTACATATGTATATAACAACAGGCTAAATCGAGAATCCTGAAGACCCATTGTCCACCAAAAGAATTTAAGTATAAGGAAAACCAAAAATAAGGTGGAAGTTACAAAGCATGAAGGTATACGTACAGGTAAATAGCTTCTGGAAGGCTGGGTCACTGGTACACTCCAGAGAAATAAGACATTTCTTCCTAATAATGATTTGAGCTCCTACCTCTCTAGCACATCCTCCACAATGCTGAGACATCTGACCTCTGCTCTGAGGAAAAATTTCATCTTGCTGAGTAAAACCTACTGCTCAAGCAACTTTTACTGTGCACCGAGTCTCTAAGGTATCAGTTTCTAATCTAAGATACTGAGTGATCTTTGCTTTTTCTTTCACTCCTTATAAAACAAATAATCAGGGGATTCAGAGTTTTTTGTCTTATTTAGAAAGCTCATTTTTCATTAAAAAGAAAAAACACAACAAAAGTCACAAAATCAAACCCTAATTATTTTCCTTTCCTCTTCATTTCTTAACCCAGACAGAAAGAGCTTGGAGACAGACAAGGAAGCTCAGAGAGAAAATTCTGGGGAGCGAGGGGGTAATCTGGCAACTGTAATAAAGCAGTAACAGAGATAAGAGAACCCCTGTAAGACAACCACCTGTTTGAAGGACACAGCATTAGCTGGAGAACTTCTGCTTCCTATTGATTGTGGCCAGAACCCATCTCACCTGCTGTCATTTAAAGGTCAAATGGCTCACCACTGGAGAAGAATTCATCCCATCTGGCTTAGACACCACATTTAAGGTGGGATGAGCCACCAGCAGACATACCTGCCTCTCCTCAGCTATCACAGGGAGGGCAGAGACACCTTACTGCTTCATTTTTAGACACCAAGAATTAGGTGAGGTGAAACCCACTTTTAAACGCTCTATTACTGCAGATACTGTACCAAAAAAAGCATATTTGTGTAAAAGGTGTTTACAGCAACAATGGCTACATCCTCTATGCAGAATATTTTGTTCCTGGAAGCAAAACTCCATTTTGAGCTGAATCTGTACCTCCATATCTGGCATAGACTTTCCTGTTTTAGTACTTGTAGTATATAAAAGAACCTTCACTGTTAATTGCACAATTAATACAGCTCAGACTATCTCTACTTTCACACCAAACCCTCTTTAACCATTTCTGATAGGACTCCATGTATGAGCAGGAGTCATCTGTTCAGTTTTGTCCCATGTAACAATTATTTATATAGGAAAGGATGTAGAAGAGAAAACTGCTAATTAAAAATTCTAAGATACATTACTAAGAAAAGACCTGAAATTCAAACACCAATCACACAAGTGAACAGCAGCACATAGGGTATCAATGACAAAACAGAGACAACACCAATACCCTTCAAACAGCATTCTAAGTACTAAGATTTGGAGATTCTAGCTCCAAGACATCCCAGTGGACCACAACATTATTATACCACAACAGGTGGGTCAGCTTGGTGCAGAACAAGGCAGGAGCAATTCTTTCATTCCATTCCTAACATCTTGAGGACATCCAGAAATGAAGGATTGGGCAACCTTGGTGCTAGTCACAAAACAGAGAGGACAATGAGGAGGAGGAGGGAGTGACATGCTGCTGCCATGCAACCTCATGACCTACAGCCATACTGGCTAGCCAAGACTGAAATTCACATCCTTCCTCTGCAATATTCACAGTCAGGCCCAAATTTTGGTCTTCTCTTTCACTTATGCAGTCCTAATAACAGGGATTTGGGCAGTCTCTTGCTAGAGATACTCTGCTTTGTATGAGTCAGCTAAACACTTGGCAACACTCCGAAACAGCGATTCCACAGCCCACAGTATTTGAATGAGGAAAAGGAAACAGGTTCCAGCCCACTGTGATTAAAATCAGCAATAATGAACTGTATTACAAGAGTGCAGGACTCATGCTACAACTTATCTGTAACAAGAGCTTCCTCTCCTAATAAGTGAAGGCCAAAGCTTAAGTTTCTACCCTAATTAAGCCAAAGAGGAAATGACCTGGGATTCACACATGCCATGGAGGTGCCGTATAGGACAACCTCCCACATGGTTATCATTTGTTAACAGCATCAAACACTTGACATTTAGGAATGCCCAAAATAATATTCCAGTGTTTGCAATTTTTGGTGGTGGTGATTGTAGGGAGAAGAGCCAGAGGGGGTAAAATTAACCTGAATCTACTCCTACTCTACTCTTGAAATACACAATTTCCTGAAAAATCCTTGTTCTGTGACTGGGTACCCAGGACTTTTATGCAAGCAACCTACTCAATCAGAACTGAAAACGAAGTTGTGCCACAGTAGAAACGAGTGCTCTATCTGGGGAAAGGCAACCTTTTACCATAATCATGAAAACTAACAAAGTAAGGGCAAAGAATTTATACGTTCTAGCTAATTCTTTTATTATCATGGAGACTATTCCCTGAAATGCAATGCATTCATTTGAGTAGGAATCTGTGTTCTCTGTCCCAGCTTTCACATGGGAATTATAAAATAGATTCCCAAAACTAAATTCCAATCTTTTCTTGGGAAAAAAACCCCAACAACCAACCAAACCCCGAGACACTGAAAACCAGAATCAGACAGGCTGGAGAGGACCTCAGGAGGAAGAAGCTTGAAGGAATGGATGGACAGGCTGAAATGGATGGAAGGAATGGATGGACTGCTGAAAGAGAGCCAAGTATGGCAGAAAAGCATGATGTGATTTATCCAGCTGATAGCCTGCAGCCATGCTATGAAACACAAGATTCACCTGCACTGCACTAACACAGACACCCAGGAATCTTGCACACTTCAACAATTCTTATGGAAAAAGGGAATGGGCCAAGATGAGCCAG